TGCTGAGATGAGCAATGCCTGGTCATGTCAGTATAGCTGTGCTAAACTTCAAGGGGCTGCAAGGACCAGTGTTCAGATTTAAAAACAATAGCTTTGGCTGCAGTATAGAGAATAAATTAGAAGACCCCAAGAATAAAAAGTAGGGAGATCAGGGAGGGGGAGTGTTCCAAAAGTTCAGGTGAGGGATGTGGCTTGGACTAGAACTGTGGTAATGGAAGATAGCAGATGGAATCAAGATGTCTTTGATGATGGGCAGCCCCTGTGCCTCAAAGGAGCAGGGCACTGGCCCCATATGCCGGAGGTGGTGGGTTCAAACCCAGCCCTGGCCAAAAACTGAAAAAAAAAAAGATGTCTTTGATGATAAAAGTAACCGGACTTAGTATTGTATTGGATATGAGAGTGAAGGGGGAGCAGGTACCTGGAGCAATGGTTGGTGTTGCTCCATTAAGCTGAGAGGCTGGAGGAGAACCAACTTGGGGTCAAGGAGAGAATATTTCAGGTTCTGTGTTCCAGGAGTGAACATATAGGTAGTTGAATAGACATACAGGAAGTTGAATAGACTGGTTTGGACCTGAAAATACAGTTGCCAACATCCAGGTAGCATGTGAAGCCATGGGAGTGGTAAGATTGCTTCGAAAACGTACGGTGAGAATGGAGTCCAAAATTGAGCCCCCAAGAATTTTAATGTTTTAAAGTCAGTCTTTAACATTTAAAGAATTTTAACATTTTAACGTCAGAATAAGAATCAGCAGAGATTTTGATGATACAGGTAGAGAGTTAGAAAAAATCGAGGAGAGAGTGGCATCTTGTAAGCCAAGCTAGAAGAGTCTTTCAGGACTATACCAAATGCTGCAAGAGAGAGGTGGAGTAAGATGAGAGAAAGTTTGTATTGGCAGTATGAAGGTCACTAGCGGCCTTGATGAGATGTCTTTCTGCAGCAGTGTGCAGGAAGCCAGTTAAGACTAGAATGTAGAATGAATTGGAGTGACCAGTTTAGTCAAGAAGCTTGGCTGTGGAGGAAAGAAGCCAACAGATAACTGTCATCATTGGAGAGAAATTGGGAGTCTACAGGAGAGATGCAACTGTGTACTTTGGTATAGATTTTACTTGTTAGTAGCAGGAAGTTATAGAATGTTTGAAGGGGATAGGTTCTGAAAGGAGAGCGTAAATCAGTAAGGGAAAGAAGGAATAACCAATGGTGCAAAGTCCCCAACAAAGATGGGCAGTACAGTTGAGAATGGTGACAGTAAATTTCTGCTGATGCCATTGGGTTTGTGTGATTTTGAGGTAGAATCAAGAATTTTTCTCTAAATAGTACCAACAGAAAGCATATTCCTCTAGAAAACTATGAAAATATGTTCTATGCCTTGTAAAGAGTGCTTAGGTTTTCCTTTCTGTCAGGTTACCAATAGAAAGGTAAACCAAAGAGGATGTACACTTCGCAAATAGCAGACGTCTTCTTGGCCCTTCAGTTTAGGGAAACACAAGAAATTTCTTTGTGTCTGTAACTATGAAATGACTTAATGTGAAATGGTACTTTGATATAGCTAGGTGGTAAAATAAAACTTATGTATGTAGTGATTTTTATTTTGCAATATCACTAAGGGGATATTCTTGTTTTAAAAGCCACTTTAGTATAAGAAGATGCTTTAATTTTCCAGAAATAATTATTTTGGCTAAAAGCCAAGGGCAGATTCTATTAAGAACTAATAATTTGAATACATTTTTTTCTTACAGCGAGCATTTGACTACTTCAATTTAGCAGCTAATGCTGGCAATTCACATGCTATGGCCTTCCTGGGAAAGGTACTGTCCATCCTATGAATGTTTATGTCATAGCAAGAAGTGTTTGCATAGTGAGCATATATTATTTTCAGGATCTGTAATTTACCAAAAATAAAGAGAAATGAAATTTTAAGGCATGTGCTATTCTAGGGCATTTTCTTAGGCAACTTACCATAGCCTTTGCTCATTAGTCTATTAATTCTCCATTAAAATAAGCAATCAGTGTCTGAGCACCTGCTTTCTGTGTATTGTGTACAATAATGAGGAATTTTTTACTAAGGTTGTCACAATTGCCTTTTTGCTTTCATGCTGATGGGGTAGAATTTGTTGAAACTTATCTGTAGATCTTTTAGTTGTTTTAAATAAGACAGCTGTGACCCACCTCTCAATGTAGTTCTTTTCTCAAGCAAGGAAACATTTAAGTCTTGAGACATAGTGGCTAGATTTCATATGTCATGGAAGAATCGCAAAACTTCCTTTTTCATTATTTTGAAAAATAATGTAGTATAAAAATGAAAACAATCAGAAAGCAAGGCAGGATTCACTTGCTAGGAAGAGTCAAAGATAAAAAAACACAAAGGCCTCTTACAAAGAACACTTTTCTGTCTGAAGCTTTCCCAACAAAATAAATGAATAAATAAGTAAGGATTTAGGATCTTATTTTCAAAGAATCTTAATATGTTAATTATAGTCATTAAGGGTGAAAATACTTAGAATCTCACCACTTGTCAGAGCTGAAAAAAAGAAAAGAAAAATAATGTAGTATAAATCAATGGATATTTTTATCTATAACCAAATCCTAAAGTGGGGAAATTCAAATGGGATATATCTAAAAGGTTTTTACAAATAGGAAAATCTAATCAGTGTTTGCCACATGATCATAACTAGTTAATTGGGGCCTGGCAAGTTTCCATTTGAACTTTCGAACCACTGTAGCATAGAAATTGATATTCTTCCATCTATTTTTGTTAAGCATTTAAGAACCTTTCATTTCTGACCTTTTGTTCTTGCACTGAATTAATTACTAATTATCCCTGTCTAAAAAAAATTATTTCCTTTGCCTAGGCATGGTGGCTTATGCTTGTAATGCCAGCAGTTTGGGAGGCCAAAGTGGGAAAATCTTTGAGGCCAGGAATTCAAGGGCAGGCTGGGCAACATAGCAAGGTCCTCACACACACAAAAAGAATTTTTTTGAATTAGCCAGGCATGGTAGTACACGCCTGCAGTCCCAGTTGCTTGGGAGGCTGAGGTGGGAGGAATACTTGAGCCCAGGAGTTTAAGGCTGAAGTGAGCCATGATGATGCCACTGCACCCCAATCTGGGCAACAGAGTGAGACCCAACCTCAGTTTAAAAAAAAAAAAAATTCCCTTTATTTGTTGTTTCCCTAATATGTCCATGGAAAGCATTAGTCATTCTGTTTTTCTCTCTGTTGGCCTTTTACCATATTCCATACCTGACACTCTTAATCAGTGTGTAAAACTTTTATAAATAACTTTGTTTTAGCCAGGGTCAGGTTTGAACCTGCCACCTCCGGTATATGGGGCCAGCACCCTACTCCTTTGAGCCCTTCTTTTTTTAGAGACAAGTCTCATTTTGTCATCCTCGGTAGAGTGCTGTGTCATCACAGCTCACAGCAACCTCCAGCTCTTGGGCTTAGGCAAGTCTTGTCTCAGCCTCCCAAGTAGCTGTGACTACAAGCGCCCGCCACAATGCCCAGCTATTTTTTTTTTTTTTTTTTTTTTGCAGTTTGGCCGGGGCTGGGTTCAAACCCACCACCCTTGGTATATGGGTCTGGCAGCCTACTCACTGAGCCAGACGTGCCACCCTAAAATAACTTGTTCGTCATTTTTTTTTTCTGAACTTATGGCAGTAATGGTGGAGGTAAAAGGGTAGTGGATGCCGTTAACAGCTCTTCCTTCCTCCTTTAATCACTGATCTGATCCTAAGCAACTGCCTGGGACATGGGATAGAGTGAGGAGAAGAGATTCATCTTAGGGCTAAAGATCTCCCGAGACTGATCGGTGAGATGATCATATATATTTATCTTTATAGATAAGTTATAAATTTGATATGATATCAAATATATAATATTAAAATATGTGCTTTTAATTCTGAAATATCCTGGGGGGAATTCTAAACTTTGTAGAAAGATTTTATAAGACCTAACAAAACCAAAAGGGGATAATATAGGTGAAAAATGTAATTGGAGAGAAGATTATAACTCCTAATGAAATGGTGGTCTGTTTTCCAGATGTATTCAGAGGGAAGTGATATTGTCCCTCAGAGTAATGAGACAGCTCTTCACTACTTTAAGAAAGCTGCTGATATGGTAAGACTTTATGACATCACTGTATTGAATCATATTATAAATATTTTAATAAATAGATTTGTTATATTGAAGAATTAATCATAGTCAACTCATGCTGTAAATTATTGAAAATGCTTTTGTAAATATGACTAATGTGAATGTATTGACTGCAAAGCTTTTCTTTTTTTTTTGAGACAAGAGCCTCAAGCTGTCCCCCTGGGTAGAGTACCATGGCATCTCATGCTCACTGCAACCTCCATCTCCTGGGCTCAAGCGAGTCTCCTGCCTCAGCCTCCCAAGTAGCTGGGCCCACAGGCGCCCGCCACAACGCCTGGCTATTTTTTGGTTGCAGCCGTCATTGTTGTTTGGTGGGCCCAGGCTGGATTCGAACCCGCCACCTTGGGTGTACGTGGCTGGCGCCTTAGCCACTTGAGCCACAGGCGCCGAGCCACAAAGCTTTTCTAATAAGAGCAATTCTTAGTAGAGACTAGATCATTGAATATTAAGTCTGTTTAAATTTCTATTTTTTTTTTTTTTTGAGACAGAGCCTCACTATGTTGCCCTCAGTAGACTGCCGTGGCATCACAGCTCACTGCAACCTCAAACTCATGGGCTTAAGCGATTCTCTTTCCTCAGCCTGCCAGTAGCTGGGACTACAGGCACCACCACGATGTCCAGCTATTTTTTTGTTGGAGTTGTCTTTGATGTTTGGCAGGGCCAGACTGGGTTCAAATCCACCAGCCCTGGTGTATGTGGCTGGCGCCCTAGCCACTGAGCTACAGGTGCCAAGCCTCTCTGTTTAAATTTCATTGAGAAATTTCCTAATCAAAGAAATACTGATTTTAATAATAGTACTGGGAGCTATATACACTATTTCAATTGCAACTTGAAGTTGAAAAGTTTATACAAATGGATACTTTTGACAACCATAATACATAATAGAGGCTTTCTTTGGCCCAGAGAAAACTTCATATTGAATACTTAGTACCTCTTATGCCTTCAGTATGTACACTTACCTCTTTGCCAATTATGTTACTGCAGTTCCGGATACCACTTGAGTACTTCCCAGAGGAGTACAGTGACACTTTTTTAAAGATGCCTTCTGTCCTTCTTAAGCTTAGGTGAATTCTAGATATTTCTCTTTTTGGTCTCAAAACAGTGATTATCTTTTTTCACAAAACGTTAATAATCTTAAGTTTATCTTTGCCACCTGATAGCAGTATTGGCTGTTACTACATGATAGTGCTGTTGTTGCTAGAAGTTTCATGATCTCTTGCTTCTTTATTGGGGTGGGTGATTACTAGGAAAAACTGTAAACAAAAATGTCACCTGCTTATAATTTTGATGAAATACATTAGTCATGTTTTATATCATAAATTCATGGTACAAATGACAGTAATTCCCCAAATTTTAATCTAAATGGATATACTGTTTACTCTTTTCAGCAAATTACTGAAAGCTCCCAAATGTCTAAAAGTCAATATTATGTTTAGTGGAAAGAAGAAAGTTTAGTTTTGATTTGATAAGCACTAAGACATGTTTTAAGTATGCTCGTAAATGATTTTTTTTTGCATTCATTGTTCTTTCCTGTTTTTTAATGTATCTTTTTCACTCTTTTTGTCTATTTCTCTGATTTGCAGGGCAACCCAGTTGGACAGAGTGGGCTTGGCATGGCCTACCTCTACGGGAGAGGAGTTCAAGTTGTAAGTGTTCAGTCTGACATTGTGACTTTAATAAGCAGTCAGCCAGCAAGGTGGAGAAGTATTCCTTAAGTAGCTTCCATCCTGTCCAGGTGAAGCTGTTTCATTGTAACCAGAGATGAACTTCTGTTGTGTCTAAGTTTGGCCCACTCCACACTCTGCAACCCTCATCACAACTGTCTGCTTAGAAGGACTTTCTTTCTGGCACATTCTCCTGAATGCATAAAGCTGTTTCTTGAAGTTGTGGAGACTTTTCCCCTTCTTCTATCTATGCCCTCTACCCTACTAATGCTTCCCGTTTTTTAGAATTGAAACATCTCCCTTGCCTACTTCCTTATCAAACCTAAGAAAATGCCTACATCCCTCACATGTGGGACAGAGAACACTTTCCATTCTGCCCATTGTCCCTTCTAGCTAACTCCTCTGCTCTCTCCAGCTCCTCACTTAAAGCCAAACTAAGCTGCTGCCATACACTCTTGAGTTTTTAACAGTCAGGCTTCTGCTTTCTCTGTACAGGTCAGCAGAACCTCCTCATGTCAATCCATTCACATTTTTTGGTCTCCCTCCCCTGAACTCTCTTCCCTGAGTTCTGAGACTACAAGCTCTCTGGCTTCCCTTGGCCACTGTGTCTTCTCCTTTTTCCCTGCCTCCTGATGGTGTATGTCCCTGGGTTCGTGTTGCTTTTCTCTCTGTGATCTTGCTAAGTAACATGTTCTTTTAATTTGGGCCTGGGGACAGGCCCAGTAGCTCATGCCTGTAATCCTAACACTCTGGGAGTCTGAGGGGGGTAGATTGCCTGACCTCACAAGTTCGAGACCAGCCGGAGGCAGAGTGAGACCTTGTCTCTAAAAATAGCCAGGCATTGTACGGGGCACCAGTGGTCCAGCTACTTGGGAGGCTGAGGCAAGAGAATCGCTTAAGTCCAAGAGTTTGAGGTTGCTGTGAGCAATGATTTCACAGCACTCTACTCAGGGCTACAAAGTGAGACTCTATCTTAAAAAAAAAAATTGGGGTCTGAAACTAAGAGCTAGGTTTTAGAGTCTAATCTACAGGTACTCTATAACACAAAAAACTGTAATGTGGTATCATTTTATTCCTTCTAGTTACTTTAGGGTTGGAAAATTCAGTAGGAATCTTTTTCTCTGTAGATACTTACTGACTTTGGAAATCTAATAATTATGAAGTATTTGATAAGGTTCAGAGCGAAGAAATGAATAAGGAAAGAATAATTAATTTTCCTTATTTAATATTAGATAAATGGAGGTTTAAAGAGGATCCTTCATTAGCAGAATAGATTGTTTCTTAATTCCTGGTTCTGCCATTGTTTATGCTAAGAGTGACATACAAATTGTTTCACAAACGCTCTATTTTCTTTCATTTACAATCTTAAATATTAATCTCCCATGACTTGAATGAAGTATATTATCATCTGTGTGTTATAAAAATGAAAAGACAGTCTTTTTTTTTCTTTGGAGACAGAGTCTCAAGATGTCTACTGGGTAGAGTGTCGTGGCATCACAGGTCCCAGTAACCTCAAACTCTTGGGCTTAAGCAATTCTCTTGCTTCAGCCTCCCAAGTAGCTGAGACTACTGGCACAATGCCCAGCTATTTTTTGTTGTTGCAGTTATCATTGTTTTAGCTAGCCTAGGCCAGGTTTGAACCTGCCAGCTTCCGTGTATGTGGCCGGTGCCCTATCCACTGAGCTACGGGCTCTGCCCAATATAGTCTTTTTTAAATTGTGCTTCAAGAATACTTTTTGTGTTGGGCAGTGCCTGTGCTCAAAGGAGTAGGGCACCAACCCCATATGCCGGAGGTGGCGGGTTCAAACCCAGCCCCAGCCAAAGAAAAAGAATACTTTTTGTGGGCTGGGTACCCTTAGCTCAGTGGTTAGGGCACTGGCCTCCTGACCGGGGCTGGTGGGTTAAAACCCAGCCTGGGCCTGCTAAACAACAATGACAACAACACCAACAAAAACAGCTGGGTGTTGTGGCAGGTGCCTGTAGTCCCAGAAACTTGGGAGACTGAGGCAAGAGAATCACTGAAGCCCAAGAGTTTGAGGTTTCTGTGAGCTATAACACCGTGGCACTCTACCCAGGGTGACATAGTGAGACTCTGTCCCAACCAAAAAATACTTTTTGTATGCTTTGTTTATTCTTTATAATCAATAATCTCCTAACTTCTGAGGACATCAGAAGCTTACGAGCTTTCTCATCATGTGAGATCTTTTTCTACAGAATTATGATCTGGCACTGAAGTATTTCCAGAAAGCTGCTGAACAAGGTTGGGTGGATGGACAACTACAGCTTGGTTCTATGTACTATAGTAAGTAACATTGGAACTCATGATGGATACACCAAAATCTAAATTCACGTATTTTCCACTAGATGGCACTATGATATGGAAATGAAGCTATGCATTTCTGGCTAATTAACGTTCTCCCAATTCAGTGATTTGTGCATCTTGTTTTCCATTGTAAATTATATTAATCTGAATCAATATATGAATTTGTGTTAGTCAGATTCACTTACTCCGTAAGAATTCTTTCATTAGAGTTTTATCCTTTATATGTAAGGTTTCTCTGGTGCTCAACTAAATCATAACTGAAGGCCGTTATTTCATATGGGTTTTTGTGTGTGTGTTTTTTGTTTTTTTTTACAGATGGCATTGGAGTCAAAAGAGATTATAAACAGGCCTTGAAGTATTTTAACTTGGCTTCTCAGGGAGGCCATATCTTGGCTTTCTATAACCTTGCACAGATGCACGCCAGCGGCACGGGTGTGATGAGATCATGTCACACTGCGGTAGAGGTAGAGTCTTTTCTACAGACTTGTGTATAGGAAGTTGATCTATCTGTGAAGGTCTGTCCTTTTAAGTCTGATTTTCTTTGCGTGATTTCTTTTATAGTAGAAATAGACTATACTACTAACAATATACTGCGGTAGAGGTAGAGTCTTTTCTACAGACTTGTGTATAGGAAGTTGATTTATCTATGAAGGTCTGTCCTTTTAAGTCTGATTTTCTTTGCATGATTTCTTTTATAGTAGAAATAGACTCATACTACTAACAATATACTGAGGAAAGACTCGAAGGGTCTATATGTAACTATCGTACTTATCGTACTGTTAAAGTCAACATTTATAAAAGCAGATATTAATGTCTGCAGTATCGCTAGCACCTAGACAGTATCTGATACATAGTCCGTGTCAAAAAAGTATATGTTAGGCAGCCATGGCGGCTCAGGCCTGTAATCCTAGCACTCTGGGAGACCAAGGCAGGTGGATTGCTTGAGCTCACAAGTTTAAGACCAGCCTGAGCAAAAAGCAAGACCCTGTCTCTACTAAAAATAAGAAGATTGAGGCAAGAGGATCTCTTGAGCCCAAGTTGGAGGTTTCTGTGAGCTATGATGCCATGGCACTCTACCCAGGGCAATAGCTTGAAACTCTATCTCCAAAAAAAAAAAGGTATATGTTTATTGACTGTTTCAAATGGGAATGCTAATATCTCCCTATTGGAAATTTTCCTCTTGAGTTCTCTCAGATCTGACACTTTAGAGTAACATTGATAAATGCTTAACAAAATTTCTAAATCTCTCCGTCCTTAAGTTTACTCAGGGCTCAGCGCCTGTGGCTCAGGTGGCTAGGGCACCAGCCACATACACCTAAGGTGGTGAGTTCGAATCCAGCCCGGGCCCGCCAAACAACAATGAAGGCTGCAACCAAAAAAAAAAAAAAATAGCTGGGCATTGTGGCGGGTGCCTATGGTCCCAGCTGCTTGGGAGGCTGAGGCAGGAGAGTCACTTGAGCCCAGGAGTTGGAGGTTGCTGTAAGCTGTGATGCCACAGCACTCTACCCAGGGGGACAACTTGAGGCTCTGTCTCTAAAAAAAAAAAAAGTTACTCAGTTGTAAAATAGGCCTATTAATAGGACTCACTTCATAGAGTGTTCTCTCATGAACATCATGGGAGAATTAAGTGTGATAATATAATGAAAATCATTAGAACAGTAAATGGCATGTAATTGTGTGCTATTATTTTTATAAACTTGTTGACTTCCAAAGAGTAAATGAAAACTTCAAGTAAATTCCCAAACCTTTATGTATATTTAATAATGCTGCCAGAAATTTAAAAAGCAAGCTTAAACCATTTGTAGCCAGACTGCAAAAGTGACTTTCTAGCATATTGTTCCTACTTTTTGTATTGATTTTTTTTCCTCTTTTCACAGTTGTTTAAGAATGTATGTGAACGAGGCCGCTGGTCTGAGAGGCTTATGACTGCCTATAACAGCTATAAGGATGGCGATTACAATGCTGCAGTGATCCAGTACCTCTTACTGGCCGAACAAGGCTATGAAGTGGCACAGAGCAATGCGGCCTTCATTCTTGATCAGAGTAAAGTTCATTTTAGTCCCTCCTGCCTTAGGTTTAAAATACAAGAGCTCACATAGTTTAACCTGTTTAAAAAGAAAAGCCACAGGAAAATAATCTTTATTATTATAAATAGAATTTAACACACATGCTTTTACTTAGTCATTAAAGTTAACTTTATAACTAGAGTTGACACTAAAAATCTATATGACATTAATTTTTAAATTAACTGCTTTCTAAATGTATCTTTCAAAAACGGTTGGTATGAAAACCCCATTTCCCAGCACTGTGTAGATCTCTAAAAGTGGCTCAATCAGTAGTCTCATTATTGGTTTTAGGATAAAACATGTTTCACAGGCTCAGTGCCTGTAGCTCAAGTGGCTAAGGTGCCAGCCACATACACCAGAGCTGGTGGGTTCGAATCCAGCCGGGCCTGCCAAACAACAATTGACAGCTACAACCAAAAAATGGCTGGGCATTGTGTCGGGCACCTGTAGTCCCAGCTGTGCTACTTGGGAGGCTGAGGCAAGAGAATCACTTGAGCCCAGGAGTTTGAGGTTGCTGTGAGCTGTGATGCCAGAGCACTCAACCCAGGGCAACAGCTTGAGGCTCTGTCTCAAAAAAAAAAACATGTTTCACAAAATAGTCCCCTCCTGAATCCAACTGGTTCCCTTGAACTTAGTGTTTTATTTTAATACTACTTGTTATATCCTAATTCTTTTTCAGCTTATGCACCACAGATCCTAGTTTGCAAATGAATCCTGAAAGTCTAATGCCTTTCTCTAAATGCCTGATTTATATTCCCTTTGTTTTCCTATAGGAGAAGCAACCATTGTAGGTGAGAATGAAACTTACCCCAGGGCTTTGCTGCATTGGAACAGGGCAGCCTCTCAAGGTGAGCGGTAAATTCACCCGGGGACCTCCCTATAATTTTTATCTTTAATGAACATTAAATAATGTCATTCATCACCTTAAAATTAAGTAGAGACACTAACTCACTAACTGCTGTTTAACTTCCATGTATATTATTGGAATTTAGTCTTAAAACAGAAGTCCTAGTGCCAAAGTTTCTCAGTTGGGTTGCAGAGTCATTGTATTAGACATTTTCATCACACTGTGGTTCAGTCTTAGGTTTCTAGTTTGAGGCCAGTAGATTGTGTAAAATTGAAATGGAATAGAATATAGGATAAAATGTTAATATTAGTCTAAAATGCAAAACACTAATCTTTCCCTACTCCTTTTGAATATTTTTTTTCAAACATACTATCTATCCCTTCTCCTAGCTTAAACAATGGTCAAGCTGAACTATTTAAAAATACAAATGACATGATAAAATAGAACATAATCATTTGAAGAGGAGAATTAGTGAAAGCGGGAATACTTATCTCGTACCCAAAATGCTTGGGACTAAAAGTATTTCGGATTTCAGATTCTTTCACATTTGGAATATTTGCGTATGATTACTGGTTGGGCATCCATAATCAAAAGTCTGAAATCAAAAACATTCCAGTGAGCATTTCCTTTGAGCTTGACCTTTGAGCCTCAAGTTTCAGATTTTGGAGGATTCTAGATTTCAGATTTTTGGATTAGGGATGTACAACCTGATCTCCCACCTGGTTTTTCTTCTCCTTGACTATTGCAAACCGTTCTGCAGAAGAGCTACCCTTCTAGTTCATATTTTTTACTAACTTTATATCTTGACTGAGGAATTTCTTATAAAGTTTGTATACTACAAATTAAAATCCTTTGTTCTATATAAGCATGTTAATAGGAAAGGGACAGTTTGATCTTTATTAAACACACTTTATTTATTGGCAGTTTTGCATTTATTTCTGTTTAAGGCTATACTGTGGCTAGAATTAAGCTTGGAGACTACCATTTCTATGGATTTGGCACTGATGTAGATTATGAAACAGCATTTATTCATTACCGTCTGGCTTCTGAGCAGCAGCACAGTGCACAAGCTATGTTTAATCTGGGATATATGCACGAGAAAGGATTGGGTATTAAACAGGTGAGTGTGGCTTTAAAACAAATATTTGATTAATATAATTGTGACTGGGAGAAACCCCTGCATTTATATAGAAATTTAACTTTCCTTGGAATTTGGTCATTTTTTAGGCCACTAAATTATGGGAATGATTTGTAATATTTCTGAAGACTGACCTTCCATCTCTTTCCTCTTCTACCACATACACATTAAAATCTATGCTCTTAGAATTATGATATTAAGCTAAAAACAGGTCCTTCAAAATGGAAGTACAGCACTACCTCTATTGATAACTATCTGTTTGAGAAACTATCTGTCCATCTTTAACCAAATTCTATTTCTAAATTATCTTGAAATAAATGTTTTCTATAAATAAATTTATTTCTGATTCCTTCACTTTCCTAATAAAGTCTAACATTCTCTAGACCTGTGATCTTAAAGTTTTGCCTGAATACCCTCAACAGAATTTTGAAAAACCATATACCCCTTTGCATGGTTTTTTTGTTTGCTTATTTGTTTGTTTGAAATATAGGCTCACTTTGTTGCTCTTGGTAGAGTGCTGTTGCATCACAGCTCACAGCAACCTCAAACTCCTGGGCTCAAGTGATTCTCTTGCCTCAGCCTTCTAAGTAGCTGGGACTACATCACCCGCCACAACACCCAGCTATTTTTAGAGATGGGGTGTCGCTCTTGCTCAGGCTGGTCTTAATGAGTTGTCATTAAGAATTATTTTTAGGCTAGGCGCCTGTGGCTCAAGTGGCTAGGGCGCCAGCCACATGCACCTATGGTGGCGGGTTCAAATCCAGCCTGGGCCCCCCGAACAAAAATGATGGCTGCAACCAAAAAATGGCCAGGCGTTGTGGCGGGCGCCTATGGTCCCAACTGCTTGGGGGGCGGAGGCGGGAGACTCACTTGAGCCCAGGAGTTGGAGGTTGCTGTGAGCTGTGATGCCATGGTGCTCTACCCAGGGGGACAGCTTGAGGCTCTGTCTCAAAAAGGAGGGGAGAAAAAGGTTATTAAAAATAATTCATCTGCTAACAACCTGATTAGGTCCCCCATCAATTGTGTTAAAAGGAAAGAATTGGAAACCTTGTACACAAATGTTCTCCCTAACACTGGAGCCTGTCACTTTCTCAGTTTTTGGAAAGAATACTGGAAAGGCTTTAAAAACTTATGAAATGACCACTAATAATATCCCCCCACCTATCATTTATAGTCAGTTTCTATAAATGATATAGAGGATATAAGGATACCTCATATCCTTAGGAGTTGAAGGAAAATGGCTCGGCGCTTGTGGCTCAAGTGGCTAAGGCGCCAGCCACATACACCTAAGGTGGCGGGTTCAAATCCCAGGCCCGCCAAACAACAGTGAGGCCTGCAACCAAAAAATAGCCAGGCCTTGTGGCAGGCACCTGTAGTCCCAGCTACTTGGGAGGCTGAGGCAGGAGACTTGCTTGAGCCCCAGAGTTAGAGGTTGCTGTGAGCTGTGATGCTACGGCACTCTACCCTGGGGGACAGCTTGAGGCTCTGTCTCAAAAAAAAAAAAAAGAGTTGAAGGAAAATTGTTTATTTTGTTTTGCTAATGCACTGTTTTTTGACAAAATGCAGCTTCTTTGTTCACATTTAGATTTTTTTTTTTCCTGAAGACAGACTCTCACTATTGTTAGAGTGTTGTGGTATCACAGCTCATTGCAACCTCAAACTCTTGGGCTTAAGCAATTCTCTTGCCTCAGACTCCCAAGTAGCTGGGACTACAGGCACCTGCCACAACGCCTGGCTATTTTTTTGTTGAAGTTGTCATTGTTGTTTAGCAGGCTCAAGCTAGGTTCAAACCCACCAGCGTAAGTGTATGTGGCCAGCGCCCTAACCACTGAGATATAGGCACCGAGCCACATTTAAATATTTTAATTTCAATATGTAAATTTATATACTTAATTTATCTTAATATTGAAAATATTAATTATTAACATTAGGTAAGTATAGTTTTAGCAAGCCTCTGTACTGCAAACTCAGTATGTTTGACTTCTGGAAGATCTCTGCCTATAATGTAATCACTGGGGCTTCTCTTGCCTATCAAACCAGTCAGCCAAGTCAGGCTTAACTTCTTTCAGAAAGGCTTAATTCAAATAAAGTGTTGAATAAAGTTTGCTGTGTGTTTGAATAATATAAAAATTACATATCCATTATGGCATTATGGGTATGTAATAATTTATTGAAAGTAGTCAAAGTTAAAATGATATAAATCTAATAATTTGTTTTTACAATAGGTTATAAAATAAGAAAATTAATGTGCTTCTGATAACTTAATACAGTATAATATATAACTAATAAATTCTTATAAATAAAGAATATGATAGGGCGGCACCTGTGGCTCAGTGAGTAGGGCACTGGCCTCATATACCGAGGGTGGCTGGTTGAAACTGGCCCCGGCCAAAAATAACAACAAAATAAAATAGCTGGGCACTGTGGCAGGCGCCTGTAGTCCCAGCTACTCAGGAGGCTGAGGCAAGAGAATCATCTAAGCCCAAGAGCTGGAGGTCTCTGTGAGCTATGATGCTACAGCACTCTACCAAGGGCAACAGAGTGAGACTCAGTCTCTAAAAAAAGAAAGAATATGATAAAAGGCATGGTATCTAAAGTAGAATTGGGAGGAGGGAATTTGTGTTCAGCTTTTGAGAAGAATCAAATAATCATGATTAAAAATTGGAATAACTATTAGGTTTTATAAAACATAATCATCTTTTCCCATTTTTTTCCTATTTTTTAAATGAAAGAAACATTCATTCTTATTAGCTATAATTGGAAAAACTAATTCAAGATATTACTTGCTAAGTCTTACTAACTCTGTTAAATCTATTTAGTCATCCTCATGAATAATCCACAGAGTCTTTATGGATCACATGAAGTTTGATCCTTGATCTTGAAAAATAAAGCAGTCCTTTAAAAAAACATTTGAGTTAAATTTGGTTTTTGGTGGGTATTTTTGTTTGTTTGTTTTTTGAGACAGAGCCTCAAGCTATCACCCTTGGTAGAGTGCTGTGGTGTCACAGCTCACGGCAACCTCCAACTCCTGGGCTTAAGCAATTCTCTTGCCTCAGCCTCCCAAGTAGCTGGGAATACAGGTGCCTGCCACAATGCCCGGCTATTTTTTGGTTGTAATTGTCATTGTTTGGCAGGTCCAGGCCAGATTTGAATCTGCCAGCTCTGGTATTTGTGGCTGGTGTATTAGCTGCTTGAGCTACAGGCGCCAAGCCTAAATTTGTTTTTGTTTTTGTTTTTTGCTTTTTTTTTTCTTTTTGAGACAGACTTTCACTTTGTCGCCCTGGGTAGACTGCCTTAGTGTAATAGCTCACAGCAACCTCAAACTCCTGGGCTCAAGCGATTCACTTGCCTCAACCTCCTGAGTAACTAGGACTACAGGTGTCTGCCTCAACACCCGGCTATTTTTTTAGAGATGGGGTTCTTGCTCTTGCTTGGGCTGGTCTTGAACTCATGAGCTCAAGCAGTCCACTCACCTCATCCTCCCAGAGTGCTGGGTTACAGGCGTGAGCTACCACACCCAGTCTTTAAATTTGTTTTTAAAAATCAGAGACACTAACCATGATGTTACCATTATTTGAAGGCTCTCTTTTTAACTGACACCCTAGGGACAAGAATAAGGAATCATTAAAAGTTACTTATACATGTATTTAAATATGTAGGGGGGAGTTATTTTTAATGTTTAGCCTTTTTTTTTTTTTTGCAGCTTTTGGCAGGGGCTGGGTTTGAACCCACCATGTCCAGCATATGGGGCCAGTCCCCTACTCCTTTGAGCCATAGGCGCCACCGTGTTTAGCCTTTCTTTCCCATATCTCATGGAATTCAACAGCTTAGTATTCTTTGACAGTGGTCAGAGCATGATAAAAGTAACATTTTTTCTTTTACCTTCGGTAGAGTGCTGTGGTGTCACATAGCTCACAGCAACCTCAAACTTTGGGCTCAAGCAATTCTCTTGCCTCAGCCTCCTAAGAAGCTGGGACTATAGGCACCTGCCACAATGCTGGGCTATTTTTAGAGATGGGATCTGGCCCTTGTGCAGGCTGATGTCAAACCTGTGAGTTTAGGCAATCCACCCGCCTCCAGCTCCCAAATGCTGGGATTACAGGCGTGAGCCACCCCTGCAGGCCTATAAGTTTATAATTAGTCAATAAAGGAACCTTCTTCAAAACCAGTATTTAAGGGTGTCTATCTCTGAGGTGGCTGGTGAGGTTCTTACACCCCAAGGCATGCTCCTGAGGAAGCGGTGGGATCGGTGAAGGGTGTGCTTTTCTTCTGTAAACTGGAGAAAAGTTGCTATGCACACAGGCCTATGAGGCAGATCCCTCTCAGGAAGAGAGGAAAAGGCATGTGAGAAAGATTGAGGAACTACGATAGGGCTCCTTAACACTGTCCATGCTAATACCGCTTGTAAAATATTGAGTGTGTCTACTCTAGTTCGAAGATCAGTATTCCAAATTGAAACTAGTAAGTTGCTTATACTGACTGAAGGTTTTTAAGTAGCAAAAAATTAGCTTGAGACTTAGAAATCTCCAGATTAACAGTTTTCAAGCATAGATATATGGCTGTAGCCAGCATATCTACACAGCAAATCGGATGTTATGTTAGAGAAAAATGAGTCTGGTTTTTTAATTAAACTTTTCTTTCTTTTTTTTTTGAGACAGAGCCTCAAGCTGTCCCCTGGGTAGAGTGCCGTGGCATTACAGGTCACAGCAACCTCCAACTCCTGGGCTCAAGCGAGTCTCCTGCCTCCACCTCCCAAGTAGCTGGGACTACAGGCTCCGGCCACAATGCC